CGAAAAGAGTGCCAAATGTTAAAATGGTTTACCACGATTATTTTTAATTAAACATTTCCAAGAATTACATGTAAACAATCTTAAGTAATTCTTGTTAAATGTTATACATTTAACTGTATATTTGCAGAAGAATTCGTTTTATCTCTCCCTCTATATCTTTTCTTTTAATTAAATCATTATTTGATTGAATGAATCGTCAAATAGTGATTGTATTATACTTCATATTCGAGAGATACGTTTGGCTTCTGTTCTTGTTAGTACGTCTGAAATAAAATGAAGGATAAAGAAATGCGATTCGAGAAAAGAAATGCTAGGTTCGTTCTTGGAAATAAGTATCCATTAAGAATATTGTGAAGGATGCAGTAGAAAATCTTATGTCGTATATGGTGGAAAATCTAATTTCAGAGAAAAACGAAGAAGTGTTCCGTTATTCGTTGCTATTAGCGTTCCTTCTTCTTTGCAGAAAAAAAGAAGAGAAAATAGTAAACTTCTGTTAATTATCGCAAAACAATTGAAAGTTCGCTAATTTCGATCCTGGTTTCACCTGTTATACCAAATAGAATCGAACTCGTTCCAAATACTTTTAACGATGCTTTTGAATTGTTATTGGCGAACGGGAGTTTATTCTATGGTGCTTAAATCAGCTATAAAGAAAAAAGAGAAATCAACTCGAGCGTGAAAGAAAATGCATTTACTCGATCTATTTGACATAAATCTCGGCTGTTTCAGATGTAGATGCATCTAAGGTGAAAGCGACTCGTGTCTGTGGCGATGTGCTACGGGAATGTGACAGCGGAGAGCATAAAATTTCCTTGATGCAATTGCAAAAGGGAACGTTACATCTTCTTCGTGAAACTTTGTTGCGCTCAGTATTTCTTTTTGCATTCTCCAATACTAAAATATACTGTTCTTTTCATAAACATTTGCATGGAAATAAATTTTACGTCGGTAACATATCTATATTTCTCCTACATGAAAAATATGGAACTCGTGATATATTATAAAACAATGTTTCAATCTACACTGTTGTACTTATAAAAGTAGATTATCTTTAAATTTTTCTTAAACTGTGTCATGAATTTTTCGAATGACGTGATATTTCATCTCGTTTCTTAAAAGATGTAAAATCCACAAATTCTGAGCATTCCTTGAATAAAGAAAATAATTTGATCTTCCACTGTAGAGATTTCGTTCTATAAATATGCATGAAATCTAGTTTATACGTTTCACCCGAAAAAGAATGAAATTGAGCAAATCGGCAGAAAATTTTTACATTAACTTTATTAATAAACTTAAATAAGGTAGGAGGAGGATATTATTTTTCAAGAGAGAGATATTCCATTGAAAGTGATCTTTCCATTATTTAATTGGACGATAATATATCATAGAAAGCCGGTTAAATAAAATGCGCGTACAGGTTTTTGTCGCAGTTTTCGCGCATCATACATTTAATACCGAGGCAAAGAAAACAAAAGTAAACCAACCTGGATAATTTTTAATTGATAAAAGGTGTATTCAATGAGCGGAGAGAAATTCAACGAGCTTTCGCCGTGAATAAAACAACGAGGAAATATAACAAACGAATTTTAATAATATAATCGCGAAGGTATTGTGTAGTGACTCCTCAAAGAATTATAATTCTTTCACAATTTCCGAATTTCTGTTTTATAATAATTTATAGATATTATGAAAAAAATATCATCGTACAAAATTTTATATGAAATGTTTGACCGATAAGATCGAAGATAAAACCGAGTTTGGTTTATTTAAAGTGTTTATCAAATCGACGACGAATGATGAGGTGACGCTACGAAAATTGCTTGTTTCAAAACCCACACAGTGTTGCTGAGATTTAGGCGACGGCTACTGGAAATTGCATCATGATTTTCCTGTCGAGTGAACGAGAGAAAGTTTATCCTCGGTCTGATCATCGTCAACTAAAATCCTTTTCCAGATATCCGCCAGTCAGAGTGATTAGGAAATTTAATTACTCCGTGAAGTTCATTAAATTAATGTCGTTTTCATCGAGCATTCATGATTTTGTGGAATCTTGATCATCGTACTCCGTTTTCCGCTCTGTAATTTCTGTTACTTTAAATTCACTTATAATTATTGCTACCTCTATTTTCGCCAATTTCTCATACTCTTTTTTTTTTAATAACTCGAGTACATTATTAATTTAATTCTAGTTTAAAATTTTCAGTCTGACCGAATTTTCTAATTTCGAATTTTTTACTTAAGACCTAGAATTTGAAAACTGATATTTTATATTAACTGGCAATGGATAGTAATTCAATGTATGTTTCTATTCATACGTGATTAAAAATTCTTCTTGTCTCATGATCTATCAGTTTCTTAGCTTCCATTATACTAAATTATGCAAATTTATTCGCGTATTATCAACGAGATACGGTATTTGTAATTGTAAAACTAATGTAAAACTGTTATCGTTAGGTTTCGTTTCGCGACAAAAACTTTAGCAGGATTTACTGTTGCGAAAAAGTAGCGTTCATTCTTCCTGATAATAGAAAGAGCAATTCTTCCAGGTCTGGAAAGAATTGAATTGACGAGAGCGCTCGTCTATCGCGATGCACTTTCTCAGCAGATTCTCCTTTTATTGTCCGTAAGTTTTCTAGTTTTAGGAGATTCCACCGATAGTTTCGCAAAAAAATGACTTCTTCGAGTTTAAAAAAGGGATTTAACCATCCTAACAGTTGTAACAGAACGTAACAAAACAGTATCTTCCGACAAATCTGCCAACTTTTCGCTGTGCAAAATGTTCTGAAGTTTGTAGTGCTCGAGAGAAATGCTTACAAATAGTTTAGTATATTTTCTCGAAAATGTTATTTGATAAAATCGTTCATAAAATATACAATAAACAAACGTGTAACTAACTTCGATTTGTTGGAATTCATCGTAAATCACGGTTGGACTATAGATTTGCATCATCAAGAAACTCATATCCAACGGTATACGTACACTGAATTGAAATACGCTTAACATTCAGCAGATATTTCGTAGTTTCTGAAATATCGAATAAACAAAAATCATCATATTTCGAACAATAATGCATAAAGCAGAGCATGTATGAATGAAGTAAAGTGGTATCAATTCTCGTTAATTATAGCATCGATTGTCGGGAAAATCAGTTTACCAGAAGCTAGATGCGTCGAAGTTCGAGTTATGTTTATGGTAACAGCTAGATTCGTAGCCAACGGTTTTCAATTTACTAGCTATTGACAGCAACGTATTACTCGACACCCTTTTCACCCTCGTGTTTCGCTACCGACGCTGTATCCCCGAAATTTCTTCTTCCGATGACTTCCTACTGCTGTTGTAGACACGAGTCTATCTCCGAAGCAATAAATCATCGAACGCTTTTCAACGTCGTCGCGGTGCACCGGCGAGATTTCACCCCGTGGCTACGGATATTACTTTAGAATTTTGTCAGTGACGCCACTTTACGACAATGACGTTTCTACTATCAATCGCATTTACAAAACTGCGTGATCGATACGAAAGATATATAGATATATATGATATATAAGATATATATGATAATTTCCGAACAGAATGCTACGTTCTGTTTATGAGTGACATTATCAGGTAATTCTTTAACTGACGAAACAGATACAAGATTTAAGATCGCGTAATTTCTGTAAATCATGAAATTTATTCCATGCGCAAATCATTAATCTGGATTTTCAGCTTACTTTCAAACTTCAATTTTTGCTGCACTTTTTAAATCGTATTACTTTTGACGTGAAAGGTGCACTTTATTTCGAAATCCACTATAAATTATACATCGCGCAGGCAAATAAAAATAGAGCCGTATAAAACTCGAATGGAATTTGTATTTTTCACGCTGTTTGTATCAATAAATGATATTACATGGAGCGTGTTACAGGTTGGAACGAAAGCACTATAAATAGTTGAGCTAGATACATTTTCTCGTATGTGGAAGAATAGCGTGTTGTGTGCGGGTAGAATAACCTTACACAAAGACATAACAAAAATAAAGTAAGCGAGATAAACATCCGCAGTGTAGACATACTACGCTAAATTGCCATTTGATTGAGATTTACAAGGAGCAACGACTCTTCACAGTATCCCCTTAAATAAAATCGTTTCGGTTTCAATTAACCGTCGATGAAGTTTCGCGAATCGATCCGGACATTTGCAACGAGGTTTGCGGAAGGAACATTCGGTTGGATCGATGCCCAAAATTGAATAGGAAAGCGTCATCGATGTGTAATCGCTTGACAAATTCCGCGTCGAAGATTCTAATTTGGTACGAGACTGCAGATGTAATGCAAATGACATTACGCAGTTTAGCGAAATGAATTTAACGATGTGTTGCGTTGCAAGATAATTACGTTGAACTTTGCAGTGCGTTCTTCCTTCCGTGCGCAATTTCCCTCCATCCTCTCTGCCGCCTTATCCACAGCAACGGCGTTGCGATTATAGTAATTAAGCAAAGAAATGCAAACCTCCTTCCCGGAATTGCCAGATATGGGAGGAAATCGCGTAGTTCCAGTCGGCTAGTTAAATGTGGCAAATTAAATTCTGTAATGTTCTATCAGCGGCAAATACAGTTTTGTACAGATATTTTCGTTGTTCTGCGTTTCTGTCTATATATAGAGTGTCTGATATATATATAGAGTTAATTCGAAACATTCAAATATTTCTTAGATGAATGAAGATAAAAAGAAATGTTGCTGCAATAATTTGTGACGATAACCAGTGAAACACTTGAACACTTAACATTTTCATTCTCATTCATGATTTATGTTAGATTAAAATCATCGGATTTGCATTAAATTAAGAATAGAAGAGATTTAGTCTCGCTAAGTCCTGAGGATTTTTTGTTGTCAATAAATTTAAAACTTCAATGTTGTCAAATAATTGTACGTACTTAGAACATGATCATGTAGGATAATTTAAGACTACTTAAGGTTTCAAGAGGTTTTTGTTTTTGCTAAATTGAGTTTTTAATTGTCTTTTTATTTATGTTCTTAATGTATTCGCGAAACAGAAATATTTTCATAAGATTTGTCAGCCTGTTTCCAACTTAGTCCTTTTTTTTTGTTCAACAGTCTGCAAGCTGACGTAAAAGTTTTAATTGCTTCACACATTTCGATGTGTGCAATTCTACTTTTATGGAAAGAAGTCTCATACCTCATAGACAGAGGTTTTCAATCTCTCTATTAATTTTAATGTTAATCCTCGTTGCATGGTGACTCGTAACAAACTGTGTTAAATTATTAAATTTTTTAATGTTTCATTTTCATTTCTATTCCCTATTTTATGCAAGAAATTAAAATGATATATCTGGTAATTAAAAGTAATATAGCGAAAATGTAATTTGAGCTATTGTGATCATCTATAACCAAACGATATCGACTTAATTAATCTGATTGTAAACAAGTATAAACATCGGCAAATAACGCGAATTGTTCTCTAATACAATTAGGAAAGAATTACATAAAGCGGACGTAATTTGCAAATACCTACATTTGCATTGTTTCTTTATTGTTCTCCCTCGTGAAAACATTACTCAAACTGGTCCGCCAGAGTGTTATAAATTGCAGCGGAAATCTTTGCTCATGAATAAAACATTATTAGAACGGAGGTGGCACGTTAGGTTAGGTGACAGAAACAGGTTTGCAATGAGAAATTGTACATATAGGTAATTAGAATCTCCATATTCACCAATTCAGTCGAAAGTGTATAGAAAATACGCAGGCACTCTTAATGAATAAATATCGTTGTCCGGGAGCGCACTTAAACCATTACTATATTAATCTGATATGGTTTATAGCATTACAATTAACCGAGAATTTGCGAAACAGTTTTATTACAATTTTTACTACCCCCCAGAGATATATATTATCCTATTATTCTGTATTGTTTCCTTCTAAATTGCTTGTATGCTGACACGACAAGTATTAACCAGAATTCTATTTGCTTGTAAGAATAGAAATTATAATTAAACGCAATTTCTCACCTTGTAACTTTCATGTTATATCGCTGATTTGCTTTCATAATGGCACAGCTCAAAAAATGTAAACTCTAAAGGAGAGGCGTTTCCAAATTTACAAAGAAATCTTGACGAGTCGTTACAACGACATTATAAGGCTGTCTTAACACAAGATACGCCACTTTTCGAAAAAGCAGTACGACCTTCCACTTGTAGCGTCACGAAAACAACTGAAGATCAGCCAGTGCTGTTAAGCTAAGGGCAGGTTGATAACGGCATAAGAGTAAGTTTTCCTTCCAACGCAAAACTGATGAAATAATAAATATACCGTTTTACATACTAAAAACAGAAACATAACTCTCGACCTTCTATTCGATAAAAGCAAATTTGAAATTTGTTGGGATGTGCCACTATTTTAAAGCAAAGCAGCGATACAGCGTTCTAAAGGGTTGAAATAACATTTGACTGTGTGAATAAACGAATATCACTGCGTTGCAAATGTGAAACACGCTGCGACGCCAGATAATAGACCAACTAACTCGTTGAAGTTTACGTTTACTGCTGGATTTAATTAAAATCCGAGTTTGCTCGATACACATTCGATCCGTCTTGTATGCTACTTGCTAGAATGGGGAAAATTTCTTCTTTACTCAACGCTCACCTCGTTATCGGTTTAAATGTCTAATCAAGAAACCACGGGTTCGCGTAGAGGGTTCTGTAAATGTCGTTCGTCGGAAGCGTGGAAATTTCGCGAACACTGTCTTCCACTCCATCGAAGCTCGCGTTTCATTTGAAAACTTGGAACAGTAACGGCTAAAGATAGTTAAACACACAAGACTATATTGCAGCGTCTAAGTGTACTGCTAAGGGCAGTAAACGAAGCTGCACAGAGGGGGATGAACGTTCGCAAAGAGTAGTCGACTCGCTAAAAGCGAATGCCAGAACTCCAGGGAACAAAGTTCGCCAAATGACTAACTTAACAGACAAAAATTTCGCGTCTCATCGTACAAAGCTGCGGTTTCCATTATACGATTATAAGTGAAATATCGTAGGATTGTACACCTATTGTGTCTCCGTCAAGAAAATTAATTTATTTTGCAAAGGAGAAATTGATTGATTATGATAATTTATTTAACTTAAAAGTATAAAAATCACGGTGAATATCATACTTAAAATGATTCATTGTATAAGGACGCGAATGTTTAGTTAATAGTTAATTGCTAATTAAATTCCTTGGTAAATTTTTAAGAAATTATTAGCAGACGAAGGAAATCATGAAGAACATTTTGTTCCGTTAGTCCAAAAAGTTAGAAGATATAATAGGCAGTTGGTGATAAAGTGCCGTTTATGGACGAAGATTACAATCTAGCAGTCGCGAGCTTTATCCCTCTTCCTCTCCTTGCTTTTCGTAGTACGAGGCACAGAAGTTCTGTAGTTTATACCGCCTCGTAAATCCCTTATGACTCACTGTCAACGACCATCAACCACCGCATCATAATGGCTATTGATCCTCCGCAGTAATCAATATCTAAAATTATCAAGATAATAATAGCTTGTCATCAAGTTTAACGCGTAGAAGCCTCCTTGGAAGTTGATAACTACGATATATTGATAATATAATGTTCGAAACAATAATACATGCATTTAGCATAGTAACTCCACTAGTGCACTAGTCATACAAATTAAAACGTATTACATCATATGTTTTATACTCTAAAAGTAAATATCCCCGGAGTAACTTACAGTTAGAACAATGATATTTAAGCACCCTATAATTTACACATATTACATCAAATATATTAAAATTATCAGTTGACTTTCAAATAACCGACAAAGCTTATAAAAACAAACTATTTACCGCAAGTCCTCAGATATTTTCCACTTTCACGTCGATATTTGAATTTCCTATATTGGTATGCATGTTGTAAATTTACTGATACGTCAAGAGTTCAGATGTTTTCAACATAAACAAATTCCGTATGTTTTGTCATGCATAGATATAATGCTCAACATTTCGCTCTATTCTAAAACTGTTGTTAAAAATGTTGTTATGTAATTTTTCTAAAAAAAGGATCGACCTTATCATCGTGAAAAAATAACAATGTTCTATGTGTGGAGATGATGGTTTCCGCCCGACCGCGACAATACGTTCAACAAACGGACTGAAGAGGTACAGAAAAAAAGAAGACAACCGTGTGGCAGCTCCTTCCATGAGGTTTCGAAACGATATTAGTTGGGTTTGCCTGTTGTTACGGTCGCGTTACACCGGCACTTTTTGATCAATAACACCGAAATGTCCGGCGCAGCGGTGGTCCGCCACCAGTTACACCGGTTACACGAGAAAAATTGATCTCTCGACGCTGGACCGAATGTGGCAGTTCGAGGGAGAACAAAAAATGGAAGAAAAAAGAGAACAGAGGGTGGAAAAACAGTACGCGATCCTCAATGGAGCAGAACGTTAATGCCATATTTCACCGTGGCTCTGAAACAGTCACCAAGAGACGCGAAACGACCGACTGGTTGGCGAGGATCGATTTTCCGACTTACCCGCGACCAGATATCCACCTTGTTCTTCCCTCTTTCCACCACTCTTAGTTCTTTTTTCTTGAGAGGCCAACAGCAGCAGCCACGAGCATCGAACGTGCAGCGACGCCTATGTGCGAAATGCAAACGGATTGCCTCGCCTGCTTCTGACGTTAATGCACGAAGTTGAATGCCGAGGCTCTCTTTATCTTAGCGGAAAGAGAATAGCACGCCAGGTGGTTAGGAATGCCGAGCATTCACAGAAAAATTAGTGCGATTAGTTCCTTGCGGGAGTGAAATCGTACGAGAACTTGCATTTTTCTTTCAAACCTTCCACGTGAACGTAGTGGTACTCGTCAAGATCGATTATTCCCTTTGATTGTGGTCGAGTTTGTTTTAGAGGTTCGCCATAGCTGAAGGTATGAGTTATGGGTTAGAAGCATATTTTTTTTTAGCAATAAATTAATGATTTTAGGCTCTGTAAAATTTCTCGTCGTTGTTCTATTGTTCCTTTACAATTTAATTTAAAATTACGTGATATTTTCGTAAAGTATCACAAAATTGGTAAAATTTTGAAAAGTTATTAAATTTCTTTTAGCAACTCCAAGAAACACTACGATATATCAATTAGTTTAAATGGATTGAATCTTGAAGCATAGACCATCGCGCTCGATTTGTATCACGTGGTCATATCATGGCTGTTACTGTATCGCCAATATCGATGAAAATACTATCTATAGTCGATGTGATTGTTGTGGTATAACTCGAATTCTGCGATTTAATTTCTGGTTCCATTAGAGATCGCTGTGTGCACGCAACCTCCACTTCCGGCACGTTGTTGCTCATTCTCTAATGTTTCATGGTTCGATAGTACTTCGGTAAGCGATGCAATAATTGTTCTCGCAACAATTGAAAGGGATTTGACTCGACCATTGTTGGTGTATATAATTTCGACGAATTTCGTGAACGTAACGACGATGCTGGTACATTGTTCGAAATGGCAAAATTGTAACTTTTACGTCTATAATTACTTTTTGCCCTTTCTTTTCTTATCAAAATCAATTTAAATTACTGTATCTGCTAATCTGACTGAAATTAATTCGTGTCTATTAATTTTTAATTCCACGACAGAACTTTCTGATTAAGAATTTGCTTAATATCCTATCATTTATAATCGCGTGTAACACCTACCGTAGAAAGATTTGAATTTCTTGGATCTTAAGTTCGGGGCGATTTTCAACACTTAGGTTGTGAAATGTAGCCCCGCCATATCCTAGGAAAAAGTGAACAAAAGAAAGAGAATCGATATAACATTCCCAAGATTTTTCTTTGTCAGAATTAAATTATCAAGGTAATAACCAGAAAATTTGCTCTGGATTTAATTTTATCGCTAGAGAAGAAATTCAATTATCCGTCTTATAACAATGTTACTCACCTACTGCCTACCCATAGAATATGGATTCTAAACGGCGAAGAAGCCTAAACGCGCTTATTCCATTGTGGTATATAACTCTATCGGTTAGAGTAAATAAAATGCGTTTCCTTAAAGTGGAAGCTGAACGAAAAAGGAAGGAGGAGAAAAGGTATATTGCATCTTATGTGGTTTTAAGTCGAACAGACGGAACCGTCTTTAGAAGAGTTATCGCGTGTAGAAAACGTTTTCAATTCTTTATATAAATTCTACCGGCGCATTGAAACTTGCCGCGGCAAAGGCGGTTCGAAATAAATTTTATTGAGAGGTTTCCTCTGAAAAACATTATCGCCTTCCTAACAATTTCACGTTTGTTGCAAATAGGAATGCATGGTTTGTTCAAAATAGAAGCTTTCTTTAATAAAAATTTGGAATAAAGGAAAAATGAAATAAATATCTATGATATCCATGACTTGATATTTCTGAAAAATTATCCGCAAATATTTCTATAACATCATCGTTAGCATTTTCAGTCTCTGTACTTGAACGGTTTTAAAAATTAATTTACGTCAAACTTTTTCTCCGCTGCACATTTCTGTTTGGCCAAGCCGACAATCGCTGACCACTCAGTAATTAGCACACTATAAAAGTATACGCTATAAAGTCGCTGGTGTAGTAATCGCGATAACGGCGTTACGCCCGTGATTTGTAGCGACTAGCTGATTTTCAACACGATCGTTTTAAACGTTATCCAAGTTATTTTACCCACGGGTGCCACTCGAGGCGTAAAAGTTACCAAATCTGGCGATCCAATATTCATCCGAACGAACGCAAGCGCGCTTGCAGGCACTTCCGGTAATTGTCGTGGGGTGGACTGTTCGCCCGCGAAGAGAAGTGCTTGGAACTCTAATCCACGCTATTACAGAACTTTATCGGTTAAACCAGTCGGCTTCTGTTTGCCAACTCTCGCGACGTTGTAACCATTGCACGGCGGTGCAGGAAAAACGCCGAGAAAAAGGAACTTTTTCCCCGAATTGTTCGCGAATCTAGGGCGGTCCAAGATAAATCTTCTAGAGACCTACGACGAGATAAAAATGTAAATGTCTGTGCAGCCATGAGATAATTTTTCTCCGACTTGTTACTCTATCCTTTTCTGATAGTGTCGACATAATTTAAAGCACGAAAATTCGCTGGTTCGTTAACGCAATCTGTAATAAGATTTCACTGGTGTTTGCAGTTTTGTCGAAGGTAGATAAAACAACTGGAATACAAGATTGAGGGACGGGATATACCGTGGTGATAGGGTCCAGAACAATTTTTTCCCCGAGGTTGCAGTACAATCTGACAAAGAGGATCAAATACTCTTTTGGATTTGGCTCCGGTTGAAATAAATCCCTTAGAGATCTATGCTATGATATTAAACGGTACTAGCGAAGTAGCAGTTCGAAATTTTATCCTGTGTTACATGATTTCTCTTTTACGTTATTCCATCGATGTGAGTTTGTCTAACCATGAAACAGCCCAAAAATGCTTTCGATCGCTTACAATACAAATATTTTTATTTATAAAGACATCTATCTAATTTTAATAGAAATTTATTTCACCCTCTAAGTTATGACGAGCGTACTTTACTTTAGATATTTTGTACATTTTCGCTCATTTTAATTTCTCATAAATGCATAAACGTCGGAAGTTTTGATAATGATGAATGAAAAACACAGTTTTATGATAAATTACAGTTTTACGATTGTCAGTCTTTGTGGAATAGAAACATCAAAGTCAAAAATACGAGACGCTAGGTAAAGAGATTTTGGAATAATCGCATGGTTTTAGTTGGCAGTTCGCAATGTCGCATCGCAACAATGCGAACAGTTGCTGTCTCCGCGAAACTACAAGAACACTAATCCATGCTATTACGAAACGTTACTTGGGAAGATATCTTCTAAGTAGCGAGACCGCGATCATTCCTTCGGGTCGGCAACAGAAATACTACAAAGAGAACTAAAGTTTTCGTTTCGTAAGAAGATCTGCTTCAGTCCAGGCAAATATATCAGAGATGTGTGACGAAATAAAAATGTCAGCTTTCCTCTCGGTGTTTTTTCCACCGTTGTGCCGGAATTTGTCGATTTTTAAGATATACCTACACTTAGTCGCCTAACACGATTTTTCCTCTCGAGACTCTTTGAAGCTTACTTAACGTTTTTCACTCCCACCTCTATGCTATGATATTCTTAATACCATCAAGCGGAAAGCTTAAGTAACGAAATGATTCATCATAAGTAAACAAAATTGTTATCTGTTAAGTTTATAAACTTGACAAAATGTAACGTATGTATAACTAAAAATATATTAGGTTGTCCAAAAATTTTCTTTCGTTTTATAAAGAAATAATAAACGCACAATGTTTTTTGTTTTATATTAGTTTATTGAATTGTGTACGAACATAATAATAGAAATATAACGAAATAGATCATACCTAATTCAATAAAATAATATAAAACAGAAATTGTTGTTCATCTATTATCACCTGATGAAACGAAAGAAACTTTTCGGACAACCTAATACATCTACAAAATAATGAGGGCTCGTTATCGTTACAATTCCTCCGATTCTCAAATTATTTATCTGTGTTAACATTGATACGCCTGGGCGCTGTAAATATCCAAACCTAACAAAATTACGCGTCTTATTAACGGTAAATACATTACTTGTCGATTTTCACGCGCGATGTGAAAATGAAAGGAAATTTCTGCATGAAGCGGAACATCGTGATATAAATCTGTAGACATCTAAAAGTAAATCGCCATACATTTTCCTGCTATGAGCGATCATTTTTAAACGTCCGAAATTTACTTTTGCAGATAATTTTCTAACATGTATAAGAAAAGCATATGCTTAGCATCTGCCGGAGATTTTATTTTCTTTCGTTGTTATTTTCGTCAGACAAAGAAAGTTCAGAAAAAGATTATAGTAGCATGGGCGCATGAAAAGTTTCAGAGTTTTAGTACCGGTCCAAGTTATCGTGGTCTGCCGAACATCAGACCGCGACTAAGAGAAATACTCCGCTCGTGTTTCACGAAACAATTCTTTGATGGTTCTCACACGAGATCCTCTCGACGCACAAATAACCCCCGATAATCCGACAGGTTAAAATTTCCCTGATACTTAGTACACTTCCTTCGGTACAGCGGAGAGTAGAGATTGCGAAAAATAGCATGGTGGAAAACACGAAGTGAGAGCAGCAGCGAGTTGAGAAGGGTGGGGTGGGAGGGGGGATAACTGCTCGTCCATTTCACTTCGCAGTTTCTCCCGCGTCATTGCACCAGATCGAATCAATTTTCCTTGTCGACTTCCGTTCTCGTTCGCGACCCCGTTACCACGGCCACGAGATCTCCCGAGGAAAATCCGCGATACTTCAGCGTTCACGACGTTTTTCTCCGGCTATTCTCCTTTTTTCTCTCCACCGCGCCGCAACGTCACCCTCTATCGTTCCACTCCGCGTGTAAAGGCGATCGTTCCGAGCGAGAGGGCAAGCTCAGGCAAGAGAGGAGGGAATCACCAAATCTGGACTGTCGCGATAAGAGCAAACGGGGATGGAGTGTGAGAGAGGGAGGAGGGGGGGGGGGGCAAGAGTTAGTCTATGGAGGATGGGAATATGCTGCGAAATGGTTTCATCTGACTTGACAAGGTTTTGTACATTTGTTAATTAGACCTCCCTGTTACGGGCGATGCTTTTTTCTGCTCGTTTGCTGGCCTATCCTTTTTCTTTAACCCCTTCGTTGCTGCGCGGTGAACTACTTTTTCCGCCATTCGCCCCTCTACATGACGATTTTTTTCGGGAACAGAGAGCAAGGAACTTTTAATCTCCGCAATTGTCCGCGGCTATTCAAACGATCGTATCCCTCGTGGCTTCGTTGATACGCTGGTTTCCCGAATTGTTGACAGAGGTATCTAGATAGAGATTCGTATGTCCGCAGTTCTGCGTGAAACTGGGATGTACTGCTTTTTGGAAGAAATGCATTGTACCATTCTTCCATTTCAATTGTTCCAATGACGTTAAAAGGTAAAGTAC